GGCTAAATAGACAAACACAGTCCTTTCAATGCGAATTTTTCAAAAAATCGACGAAGTCTTAAAACTAATACCAATTATCAGCCCAGATTCATAAACAAAAGCTGAACACATACAGCCAATATGAAGCATTTTAAAGCAATAAACAATAGCAACAACGCTACCTTATCATCCTCAGCAACGGACTTGGGCGGTACAATTTTGGCGCATTTATCGAAATTGACACCCAATTTGTCGACCACTTCAGCCACCGGTATGTCACGATGTGGAACAACTATGCGGAATCCAGTGGAACTGAGCTTTTGCGGCAAACATGAAGGTGCAGAATGTTTGGACGATACCCGCGCATTCAGGACTTTCCCAGGAGGAACTTCTTTTAGAGGGAATATGTGCCCTAAAAAATGAGTTATGTTTTGAAGATTTTTTTTTTTTGGGTATTAATAAAAAAACAAAAGCAAAGCGCACGTTGTACAGCACCATTTATGTGCATTTGAAAACCAAAAAATAACGCCGCCATCGGGTCGGTGCTCTGTTCTGGGCTCACAGTGGATGAATGTAATAAAATGCGAATGATTGGCTTTTATTTTGATATGTTATTCTGACTCAGTCATCAGGTAAAATGTTGTTTGTTTTATTCAGAAATTGCAATGGCAGTCTGTGTCATGACTAAGATTATGAGGGGAAAAAAGACATTTTTTGCTAAAATATTACAAAACTGAATACGGACAACTGAACAACACTTACTTTGGTCGCCAGCGCCGTCTATATCGGCGCTTCCATCGACTGCAAATGACTGGACAGACGATGCCGATTCTTGTGGGAACAAAAAGTGACAATTCTCCGGAAAACTAGTATTCGGCTCATCGTTGTACTTCGTTATAAACCGGTAACTGGAAATATGGAGAGAGCTTTTAAAGAAGCAACATTTAATGTACAACATACGAAAATCAGCCACAAGCTCAGCTTACACTGGGTGAGGTAAACTCAAATGCAAGCTTTTCGAAGTGTTCTGAGCAACAGCTCCTTGCCAACACTAGCCACCCCCAATGTGAGGCCACTGATGGTTCTTTTCTTCTACGGTTTGCCTTAGAATCACTAAGTTACAAATGGTCTGACAAAATAAACCTAATGAAGCAGAAATCTATAAATTTTTTTTTAAACGCAAAAAAAGCAAACATACCAAATATGTTTTGGGAATTCCAAAGACATTTCTCGTTTGAACCGTGATTTCATGTATTCTTCGAACCCCTGAAAACAAAAAAAAAAAAAAACCCATAAAAAATAAATGTTCGACAAGCCCTTTCGGGAACAAACAAAAACACATACACTAGTGTCTTTCGAAGATGATGGCAGATCTGCTGAAGCAACACTACGCGTTGTCGATTCTTTCGCCGACATTACACTAGCTGGACGAGAGCGTCCAATGCGAGCCGTGGAAGCACACGTTGAAAGGCCTTAATTGATTGAACATATAAGGTTCTACTTCTTTGCTCTAGCCTTTAACAGAGTCAAAAAGATGGAGCGATATTAGAACAGAATTTATAACTAGAAAATAAACAGCATCACAGTGCTCAGAAGCGGAAGCAACATAAATAAACAGCGGCGCGCACCAGGATAACCGGTGCGATCATGCGTTTTGTACAATTCCGTCCACCGAACAATCGTTACCTGCTGATGATTTTCACTGCTCAGAATTTAAAAACTGAGGAGTTGCACGTGGGCAAGGAACAGTCACCCAAAATTTCAGCTCTCTAGATTCCGCGGTTCCCGAGATAATAATTTTCCCTGCTAAAACTTTTACGGGGCCGCACGTGCTATCTGCAGATACGGGGAGATTGCATTTAAATTTGCAGGGTCACACATGGGCGGGGAACATACCTCCAAATTTGCAGTTCCTTAGCTTTTGTGGCTTCCGAGTTGAAAATTGCGGACAAGTTGCTGCGGACACACACACACAGACAACTCCGTGACAATATGTGTTTTGTACTGTTGTTACACAGCATAAAACGCATAAAAAGAAACATACTTGCGCAGCTTTTCGATTCATCATCATCTTCCGATGAACTCGTTTCTCCAGCATTGTCGGGTACGATTGACATTCGTACGAATGGACTCATGTGCATTTTCTGAATAATTTTTTTTTTTGGTCAACATAAAGAAAAAGCAAAAACGACAAAATAAGCACAAAAAAATAAGACCACGTGAACTTGAATCAGCTGCTAAATTCAACATCAAAGTCAAAGCAGAAGACTGATTACCAGGCCGCGCAACCAGAGAAGCTGGAGGCTGATTAGGTGGGGAAAAAAAAAACCCTAAAAAACACCACCTTGCATAAATCGATGAGTTTTTTCGTCAAGTTCCTGTCTTTGTACCAGTTATTATTCAGATTCAGCGCTGATTCTGGGCTGAAACAATTTTGTTCACTGGGAAAACTGAACATGAAAAATTTCAGGAATTTCTTTTTTTTTTTTTAAATTCGTCATGGCGCGCTGAATTTTCGAATGCATCGATGCATACAAAGCTGTTAAGTACCACACGTTCCCGGCGGTAAATTCAGTCAAATGCTAATTTTGTTGTCGTGATTCTCTTAGTCGAACACTAATGTTTTCTCACTCAGCTCAATCTGAGTTCGCACCTAATTTTTTCTGTAGAAGCTTTTAAGTGGAACCTTCCATGCCGCTGCGGATCTTTTTCTTAATATTCATTTAACACTGAATGAGTGCCAAACAACAATCCATCTTGTCATCTGTTATCTCACATTTCTATGAGCTTTCCCTCATCATGTATAATACCTCAGAAGTATCATTGCACCACAAAACCGGAAATGCGATACTTCACCGGAGATGTACTGCAATTTGCAGCCGTCCATCAATCACCGCTGCATCACTGCTAACCTCCCTTCCCCTTTCCCTCCCCTCCCCACTCCTTAGCTGCGACGTTATAAGCCTGTTCTATCCATGAATACTTTTCGGATACGATCAGATGAACAATTTTTCTTGCAAATTTCTATTCTCAATACCAATTTTACTTTCTGCTCTCATATGCTTACGAGTAAAGTAGGAAAAATAGCTGATATGTGGAACAAAAAAAAAAAGTGTAACCAAAAATCACGTCTATGAGGATGCACTTAATTTCGCTTTTTGAGGCAAAGACAGCTAAAGACCATTAATCAAACTTTGATCTAAAATCAACCGCTTTTTTGCATGATAAACTGTAAATTCATGTTTTTTGAAAAAATAAAAATACACAAACTTACACTAATGTTATGCTGTTATGCCCATAAATCAAACCATCTGATGTACCCTTCTTAGATACAGTGGATATGCAACGTGCACCGTACATTGTTATCATACCCTTGCTGTTCCAGTTTTCAGGCGGTGAAAAATACGTCAGCCGTCGATTAACCTAAAATGTACCTTACTTCGATGCTCTGATTAATTTTATTGCTTTATCGTTGTGTTTCTTTCTGGTACCAGCGTTATGCAATAACTTCTACAGCTCTGGGCATGCTGAATCCAAGTAATTCCAAATATCTGGATTCTTCCGTCGCCTGCAGGCCATCCAATAATCCTCTTCATCTCTTATTCACAATGCCCAACCAAATCATCTCTTCTTTCTTGGTGTACGCTGTCTCGAGAACATTCTTGGCCAGCTCTCCTCCTCTCCCCCCTCCCGCACTCCCTCCTAAGAAGAAATCGCCAGACCATAATCTTAAATACTTCACATGCATCATCAATCTGATGAACACCAGAGTGTTTTAATCAATGATCAATCTGATCAATCCTGTAGATTATTGGGTCATTAGGCTTCTCAGAAAGCATGGTATTCCAAGTTTCGCTTCCAAACAATCAAATCGTGAAGTGCCGCTTCTGTGACTGAGAATGTATTCCTGTTTAGCCAAAAACCGAGAAGACCACTTCTCTGCAGCATACGTCTCAAGTAAGCATAGCTGTTCATGAACTCAACAGACTGATTCTTCGACTTCGTGTTGAGCTCACACAATACAAAATTCTCCATCTGCTTGGTTTTTCCTCCCGTAAATCTGCCGCATGTAAAAACTCACTAACGGATTCTGTAAGTACTGCATTTTTTTTTTTTGCGAATAACATAACGCTGTCAGTGAAAAACAACCGTGATGTTGCGCTTTTTAAACTTAACTAATACTTGCAAAGATGACCGCATAACATGAAGCAAATTAATCTTGAACAGCCAGTAAGGAAAAAAGATATAAACGACAATTCGGTAAATGTAATAGAAATAAAAAGATATGTTAACAGTGGATGAAATAAGAAGAATCAAAAAGGAAGTTAGGAGATGAGAATTACAGAACATATAAATTAATAAGAATTATATTTTAATAGTAAACTTACACGGCAGAACTCTTTCATATCTTTCTCGGTCTGCCTGGACGGAATACTCCTCAGCGTTTTACCACCGAAAACATGCGCGTGCTTTTCACCGGAGAATGTAACCCGAATGAGGAGGTAATCATTCCTGAAAACATACACAGTATGACATAAAACACAGATATAAATAGCGCTAATTAAAAAAAAAAATAAACCATCAGCTGCTTCTCCGAACCAACCTTTTCTTTCCACTGCAAAACAAACGACAGCCAATAAATGAGGGCAAATCGATAGCAACCGGTGCACCACGACGATTGATCTGCATCTGTACGGTCGCAGACGGAAGCCGCATCTATAGGACAATCATTCAGTATTATTTAGGTCTTAAGGAAGCTTCCAGCACTAAGTAAAAACCCGCTGCGACATTTTACTCACAGTGGCACTTATTGCAAAAAAAAAAAACACTACATCTTGTTCTTGTGCCCTATATCACGAAAAGACTAATTTTTTTAGCATT